ATATATATATATATATCGATGTGTACAAAAATAATTTCGCGCTCATATTTTCGCCATAATTATTACATAGTAATTCGTTTTTTTTCTTACAAAATGTTCCAGAATTGGTATTAATTAAACATTATGAAATACGAGTATTGGTAAATTAAATGATAATGTTACTTCACATCTTTGTTAAGAATTTACTTCAATTTAAAAAATAATATATACCATTCTGGAATAATCTGTATATTCTTATATTCTTATTTATTATTTCACGATTTTATAATTCTTGCAAATAAATTTCAATATTATTATTTCATTCGACATAATATATGATTATTAAATCTTTCTTTTTTTACAGTCTTAATATTTCAATATTCATTCTCTATCAATTATCACAAATATATATTCAGGAATATACAAAAAAAAAACATAAAAAGTATTAAATGTTAAATGAGAGTATTGGATCAAGTCTTGCACTTTTTAATATCTTTCGAGTATTTTGACAAGTTACATGATTGGAACATAAAATATATTTAATTTTATAATTTTTAATGGCAGTTTGAGAAAATGATTTAAATGACGCTTAAGATGAATACAAATATTATAATACTGCGATTGTGATGTAATATAATTAAAGCTCATGATATTTCGTTCGGCCATTGAGATAAACACATCGACTGTTGCGTGATGGCTTCACAAAATGATGTAATTATTATCTTTATTTGTCGATATCATAGGAAAAAAGAGAAATGTTAATAATAATAAATATATTTGTAATTCGGAGCGTACCATGCCGTTAAGGAAAAAGGAACTTCTCTCAATATGGAAAGGTGAGCACAGCCAAAGTGTTGCCTAGTACAAATATATTGTAAAAAATGAATTGTTGTTTAAATGAGCCGAAAGTGCTACTTGCGTTTTGCGCATATTTGTTTCGAGATATACTTATCAATATCTTTGATCTCAAGTTTCTTCATTATCTTACCTCTCCATAGTGAGAATATCTTGTAAGTTATTAAAATTCATAGGTTTTACAAGCGCGATTAGTTATGCTCTGATTTATCGGCATAATATTATATGTACTTATTCCGATAATATGCACTTTTATTTTTGTCATAAAGGATAAGTGGAAAAAAATGTACCTTTTTATATTACTATTAAGACGCCTTACGTAAATAAACTTTTTAGAAAATGATATTTTGTAATTTAATATATTCTTTATTATAATTTATTTTAAATCATATCATAATTGTAAGAATAAATGAGTATTATTTATAACTTTTATTTCATTCGTTCTTATTAAAAAGAAAATTAAGATATACATTTGAATTTATATTTTATTATATTATATTATACTAATCAATTAGTATTCTTGAATTGTGAGCGCTTTTAAATTGTTTTATCCAGATATCCAAATTCACGCGTTTGATCATATAAATATATTTTATTACTATTATTATTTTACATCTAATATCCAATTATATATTAGATTTTGAAGATTAAATTCATTATTGATATTGCGTTGGATTTAATAAAAACAGTTTATAATTCATTATCGTTAAATTTTTCTCGTAATCAAATTGATAGAATTTCAAATTGAGATAATAATCACTTTCAGTACCAAAACATTAAAAAATATCAACTTTCATAGAAAAGACCAGCTTTTAATAATTTTTTGCTACATATTAATTTTATACACATGTTGGTATATATAGTCTATATTATATAGTCACATGTGCATAGATATATTTTTATTTACACATATTTTTATTTGCTTAATTATCAACAGTGTATATTGTATATAACAAGATACTTGTCTGACGCAATTAAATTAAAATTTTTTTATTATGTACAAATTGTCTATAAAAATTGTCATGATTATAAACCCATATATTGAGGGGAGGAAGAAAAAGTATTTCTTGCAGAATTATTTTTCCTCGATTCCTCAGCATTAGGACTATCACTGAAAATAAAAATTTTTGACAAAAATGTAAAAACATATTAAAAAAGATAATTCTTCTCTTCAAAATATAGAATTTTTGTAATCCAAATCAAAGATCTGTTTCCATATATATTTAAAAACTATAT